GCGGAGGAGCGGGATCGGGAACATCAGGCGATTCTACTTCAGCTGCTGGAGGAGGAGGAGAGAGAGCTGAGTTACAAAATAGAGCATGTTTGGTGCTCCCAGCCTCGGGACGACGTAGAGTGGGCTCATCATGATGCAGATATGGCACGATGGGCAAAACTTCAAAATAGGATTATGGAGTTGAAGAAATAAACAGAATTTAAATCATCCTTCCCCTAATCCTCCTCCTGCTTCATCATAAAACGGTCTTTTTAAAGACCACCTAAGCCTTAGTGAGTTAAGTTCACTTTAATGAGAAAACTAGATAGTCCATACTCGCACCGTTTAGTTTTTGAGACCACCCACGGAGCGATGTGCCAGACCACCCAGGCATGAAGGCACCTCCCCCCCCTCCCCCCATCGTCTCGTCCGTCCCATCCTGCACCCCTAGGATGTGCCATACCACCCACGGAGCGAGATGCTGGCGGCTGTCCCTTTGATCTTTCGATACAATGGAAAGCTTTTATCGTAGGCACTCCCTTTGGTCCTAGGATACAAAGGAATCCACTTAACGGATGATTGACAGATCCATTAGTAGAGTTTCTATAGGCATTGTTTAGTCCAATATAACAATGGATAACCTTCTGGAACATTCCATCGCTTTACGCCAACAAAGGAACACGTGTTGTTTACCACTGGACCTTCGTGGAAACTTCCATCGTTTCTGCGTCGTGCATCCTATCCCCACCCCCTCTCTCTGGCTATACTGCGTTACTCATCCGCTACCTTCAGATAGGGTTTGGAGTTCACACGAGATGGCCAACCAACAGCAAGAGAAACAGCAACAGTGGGCGAGCGATATAGACGACGCCGATTTACACCGGGCGTGCGCTGTGGCAGAGGAGCGGGAGCGGGAACGTCAGGCGACTCTACTTCGGCTGCTGGAGGAGCAGAAAGAGTTGCATATTAAATTTTTTCGTATTTGGTCCCGTCAGCCCAGGGACGACTTTGAATGGAGCTGGTGGGCAGATGATTCTAAGAGAATGAGAGAACTCTATGATGAAATCGAGGAGCTGAAGAAATAAAAAGACAATTATATCATTATTCTTCACCTCGCCTCCTTTTCCTTTCCCTTTTCCTTCGGCGTCAAACGGTCTTTTTAAAGACCACCTAAGCTTTAGTGAGTTAAGTGCACTGTAACGAGAAAACTGGAAGGTGCAATGTCGTGCTGTACAGTTTTCGAGTTGGACCACCCACGTATCTAGGTCCTGACGTCACCTTGTGATGACGTCATATCGTAGTATTAGTTGTTGGTTTACCCGCAGCAAAACGCTAGTGGTGGTGTCAATATCACATGATACAACCGCCGACAATTCAGTTAGTTCTGTGAGTGCGTTGAGTAAACTCGTGTCGTGCGTTCATAGTGTTATGTTCACTATGACTACTACTACTAGTACTACTACTGGTGACGTCGGTATGTCTAATATTGCTGATACAGAAAAAACAATACGTTTTATTATGGAGGAGATACAAGCGTTGGAGGATAACGCAATCAGTGGTTTTTCTACAGAACATGTGGAGCAGCCAGACTTTGAGCTGAAACAATTACAGCAGCAACAGCATAAGCAGGAGAAAATTAATAACAACAAGAAGAAGAAGACTCGTGATGTAAATGTGCAAGCTGATATTGGTAGTGAAATTAACAAAGAAGAAGAAAAAGAAGATGAACTAGGTCAAGGGCAAGACGAAGGATGGGTGTTTAGATCGGCTAACGATTCGCCAGCCATTACGTGGATTGACGAAGATTTTCAATACACCGTACAGAATCCCGCTAATCGAGGGCGAGTTTTATTGAAATTACATTTATTTGAGGAAGGAGTGCAAACACACAGTTGCGGCATATATTTGAATGAAAAGAAAGGAGATAAAATATACAACAGTGTGAATCATTTACTGTCACAATTAGAGAATTTATGGGTCGATCGTTTGACAGGAGTCCCGAAAATACACGGTGTGACAAAGTCAATGACGCCGCTACCCGCGTGGCGCCGACCAATGGATTGCGCAATCGAAAACGGCGGAAGAATAAAACAAAGGAAGAAACGTTCTGTGGCGCCAGAGAAGATGATGCAATCGGATGAGACAAAAGATTATACCAACAATAGCAGCGTTTCCAAGAAGCCACGTGTTGATGCGCAGCTGCAGTCGAGGAGGCGAAACAAAAAGAAACAACTACAAAAAACCGGTCTGTGCTAGACTCTTCTACAGGGGTGGATTCTGAGAAATATTGAGACACACCTGCATTCTTCACCCCACCACTGCGCTGTCGCTGCTTCTACAACAATTCATTCATCGTCTAACCACTGTGCGGATCGAACGTGTGTACAGTTTTGCTTGACTTAAACTTTTTTCACTAAAACATTTATTATGCCGAAATGCGAGTCAGTCAGTGTCGGTGGTAGTGGAGGTGGAGGCAGCAGTGATGTGATGGACTTAAAAAATGAACTCAACGCCGTGCAATTAAACACGCCATACACGAAGATCATCGATCTTTGTGAAGAGTGCGCTTATCGTATTGTGAAATTCGAACGAGTGACCACACCGTACGGAGAGACTATCATGGTTGTGCTGGAAGGACTACTCGGCGATGAGCTCTACATCCGTGTCTACCTACCACGACGCTTTAACGAGGCGATCACAGATCAACGCATTGAGCAGTACAACAGGGGATTCGGTGATCGACTATGCCTCGTCAGAAGAAGCGCTCCAGCTGGCAGTAAATATACTCCATTGGAGTTTGTTTGAAATAAATTTAAATTAATGTACAAAACTGTTTTTATTATCATTTTTACTAACCTCAAAAAACTAATGATTATTGTAATTTTCTTAAAATGAAATTGTAACTTTGATAGGATTTGTAAGTCAATACGTATAGTCACGTTCACAGCATAATCAAATAGTCTTTTTATTTACACTCCTTTTTCCCTATTGTTATAAATAATTATCATAAATTAGTTTGTGGTGTTGTTAGTGTAGTCAGTAAGCAAAATAGACTTGAGGTGGAAACATCCGTTTTCGGCCATAGTAGCCGGCCCTTCGGGCTCTGGTAAATCACAATTCGTCATGCGATTCATAGATCACTCAAATGAAATTTGTGATACGGATTTTGCTAACATATATTGGCATCATCCGCACTCGAATGATATTGTCCAACAGAGCAGTAGCAGTGGCAGCAGAGGCAGAGGAGGTATTGTCCAGTACAGAAACAGTCTGCCAGACATGAACGATTTCGACGGAAGTGTACCTAATTTGATCATCGTGGACGATATGATGCGTGAAACAGACAGCAGTGTGGTGGATCTGTTTACTAAAGGATCACATCACAAAAGCTTGAGTGTTTTCTTTATAACGCAGAATCTGTTTCATCAAGGTCGCGGTCAGAGAGATATTTCCCTTAATGCTCCTTACATAGTGTGTTTTAAGAACCCTAGAGATCGGGCTCAGATAAAACATTTAGCTCGTCAAATCTATCCGGATAATACTAAATTTATAGAGGAAGCATACGCGGACGCTACACGCGATCCACACGCATATCTGCTGATAGACTTAAAACAATCTACACCGGATGAGATGCGCATTCGTTCGACTATCTTTCCGGACGATCCGATTAATTCTGTATACCTACCGAAGATTAGTACTAGCAGGGGCCACATTTATAATAAATAGAACACATCCACATCGGGTAAGTATCAGTCGTCATGTCGCAGTGTGTGAGGAAAGACGCGGCTCTACTGTCGGCACTCGTACACGCTACACCGAAGGAACGTAAAGCGCTGTTAAAGGTGTGCGACATCAGTCGTATACGGTCGGTGTGCGAGTGCGCATACAACCTGTTACGCGGTAACGTATCGGTGTCTGACAAACGCAAGAGACAATTGAACAAGTATAAAACGAATCTCAGACGATTGGTAAAAAGAGGTGAGACTTGGGCTAAGAAACGCCAATATCTAGTACAGAAAGGAGGCGGTTTCCTACTGCCCATACTGTTGAGCACCGTACTACAAGCCATACTTCATAAATCCATCCCACAATAATAATGGAGTACGCGAAGAAAATGGTCGTCGTACCGCAAGAGTTGATCGAGCGGTTACGAAACAGTGGTGACAACAACAACAACAACAACAACAAAAACAACAACAATGATAATATAAAGTCGTCATCGAATCGATTCGGAGATGACAGAGGCAACAGTATCGACAATGAAATGCATCGCATATTGACGGATAAAACTTTGAGCGATTACGAAAAATGGAAGCAATATCAACAGGTGTTGCAAAGATTTTTTCATTTTGCCTCTGTCAATAGACAACCGATCAGTATTCCCATCATAGAGACGTCAACATCATCATCATCATCAGCAGCATCATTACTGCAAGCAGCATCAGCGTCGTCGCCGCCACCCGGTACAGTGGAGGAGATAGTGGACACTTTTTCTAAAACGTACAAGCCGGATGTGCGTAATCTGTTACGATTCATCGTCCGCGAAGGTAGTGTGATAAATTGGGATAAGGACTTTGCGGTGTATGTGCGAAATGAAAAAATTCCCGATTCGAACATCGTGGACATATTACACTGCATAGTGAGAGTCCGTATGGTGGATTACATGCCCGCCGGTTGGTACGAAGTCATGAACGCGTTACGCGACATGAATGTGCCCAAGGAGTATATAAACAATTCAACGGCGTTACAGTATCTGGGTGCGGGATACAGATCGTTACGTGGTGACGTGGCGTCGGCTGCGACAAGTAGTCCGATCATATCGTCGGCACCGAGAACACCTATGCGCGATCGTTTACGTTCTGCTTACGTTAATCAGCAGCGGACGCTATCACCTACGTCACCGTTACCCTCGTTGGCGGCTCATCGAAGACAACGAACACAACAACAGCAAGATAGAGATCAATCACTTTCACCGTTGGACAGGTGGGAACCGTTTTCACCATAGTGCGGATAAATAAATCATGGAACGATTGTACTACGATCCCGAAGATCCGGCATCATACGGTGGCGTCACACCTCTAGTGCGAGCGATTCGTGACGGGATTGAGAAGAAAAACAATAACAAGGAAAAGAAGAGGAAGAAGAAGAAGACAACACGAAAAGTGGTGTTGGACTGGTTACGAACACAAGACACTTACACATTGCACAAGCCGGTGCGTAAACGATTCGCACGCAACCGTTACGTTGTATTCGGTCCGGACGAATTGTGGCAAGCAGATTTGAATGACATGCGCGGTCTGAGTGCGTTCAACGACGGAATCAATTATCTGTTGACGGCGATAGACGTGTTCAGTAAAAGATTGTACGTGGTGCCGTTGAAAACTAAGAGCGGCGCAGAAGTGGCCAACGCGTTCGAGAACATATTTAAAAAAAACACCGTCACACCTCCGAGATGTCTGCAGACGGACAAGGGTACGGAATTCACCGGCGCCAAGGTGAAACAATTGTTCAGAAAATACAATGTCAGATACGTCACGACACAGAACCCCGACGTGAAATCGGCGGTCGTTGAACGTGTCAATCGCACTTTGAAATCACGCATGTGGCGCTATCTCACGTAAAAAAACACGCACCGTTACATCAACGTGTTACAAAAACTGGTGAACGCCTAATTCGCAGTGCACACAGAAGTTTGGGCACTGACGGTGGCAGAGGCTTACGGCCGATAGACGTGAAGAAAGAAGATAAGAGAATCGTTTATAGAGTGTGGAAGAACATGTACAGCAGTGGCAGTGGCAGCGGCAGCGGCATCAAGACTAAATTGCCTAAGCGTAGAAAGGCGAAATTCATAGCGGGTGACACGGTGCGCATCGCTAAGGAAAAAGGTACGTTCACCAAAGGATACGAGACGAACTGGAGTAAAGAAGTGTTTGTCGTGGACCGCGAATACGGCCATCATCCGTTGCCGTTGTACTTGTTGCGTGATTTGAATGGATCACCATTGATCGGTCGTTTCTACGAAGAAGAATTGCAGAAGATCACTCTGCCACCGGACCGTCTGTACGAAATCGATAAAATACTTGACACCAAAGGTGTCGGTCGCAGTAAGCGTTACCTCGTCAAGTGGATAGGTTACGGTAACGAGTTTAACTCTTGGATACCGGCGTCGGAAGTTAAACAATTATAAGGCACGCATCAGCAAAAAAAAAATAAATAATAATAATTATAATAAAAAAAAAATGAGCAAACACAGTCAGTTCTATTTGACACTGCCCAGTAACAGTTCGATGAACTACTATCCGAACAACACTGTGGCCGATTATATCACTCAACTGCCCACGTCGATACATCTGACGGACGGTGAATGGGAAGTGGCACTGGTCGAAGCGCATTATCCCTGTTCGTTTCTGACGGTGGGCAAAGACGCGAAGATATTCATCTACTACGAAGGTCTCAGCGACATAGCCACCGGTGGTTCCGACAAAACCAACAAAGTCAAGGTGAAAATTCTCAACGTTGAGCCCGGCAACTACAAAGATATCGAAGAACTGATACGTGTGATAAACACTATGGAAAGCTTACAGTTTTACGCCACGTTCGTCTACGACAGAAACACCAAAGTGGTGGATATAGCGATCCGCAGTCACGTGGTACAAATGGAATTGAGCACAGGTCTCGCGCTGCAGATGGGGTTTGATCCCGCCGAGACGGACTTGAAGAGCAACAAGAAAGCAAAACTGCCGGCCAACATACAAGCCGGACTGCCGGGTGACATGTACGTGTATTGCGATTTGGTCGAGCCACAATTGGTTGGCGATACGGTGGCGCCGTTATTGAAGATCGTCAACATCGATACGTCAAACTACGTGTACGGCGCACACAAGACCGTTCATTTCACGGATCCACACTACGTGCCCGTCATCAAGAGTGCGTTCGAGAACGTGGAAATCGACTTAAGGGGCAGCACGGGTGATCGACTGCCATTCCACTTCGGGACTACGTGCATGAAGCTACACCTGCGCCGATCGCTCGCGACAGCTTAAATAGACGACGACGACGACGAAGACGACGACGACGACGACGACGACGACGACGACGACGACGACGACGACGACGATAGCATAAACATCAGTGGCAGCAGCAGCAGCAACGATGAATACGAACGATCCGTATTTGGCATACTACCGGCGACAGTTGCAACAGTCGGGACATGGCGTGTCGTCCGTGTACAGAGGTGCGGCATTCCAGCGTGGACACGGTATCGGCAGTTTTCTCGCCGGACTCGTACGTTCTGTGGCACCGTTACTGAAGTCCGGCGCGACCACTGTCGGCAAGGAGGCGTTACGTTCGGGAGTCGGATTCTTGGGTGACTTGGTGTCCGCCGGTGGTACGCAACATCCCAAGTACGTGGCTGCTGCTCGTCTCAAAGAATTTACCGGCTCGCTGAAACGCAGAGCTGATGACAAAGTAGAACGTGTATTGAGTGGCGGTGGCGCGGTGTATAAGAAAAGACGAATACGTCGCGTCACGCCACAGTCGTTGGCGACACTTCTAAGAGTACGGACGTCCACTGCTACCGCCACTAAACGGAGGAGGAAGAGGAGCATGAGAAAATATTCTACCGCCACCAAGAGACAGCATAAGAAAACGAATAAACGGCGCAGAACTACGACCAAAAGGATTAAAAGAACGAAAACTCGACGTTCTACAACAGGCAGTAAGAGGAGGACGACGCGCAGGAGCAGGTCTAAAAAGATTCGATCTACGAAAAGAACGAGAGCACGAGGAGGATTACCGACAATAGATATATTCAATTAGACGTGATAAAATTTTTCTACAACAACAACATGTCGTTCATCCATCAGAAATCGTGCGAATGTGTGAAAACCGAATTGGATTTATTCTCGTTACCACCCACTCAGACTAGTATAGAGAACGGTAAGTGGATTCAGTACAAGCCTATCTCGTCTTTGACAGACGATTCGCCTATAGAGTTCGTCATACCGGCTAACGGAGAAGAATACACGGACTTGACGCAAACACTGTTACACGTCGAGGCGACAATAGTGAAAGGCGACGGCACAAAAGTGGAAGAGGCGTTAGTGGAAGAAATTGGTCCGGTAAACAATTGGCTGCACTCACTGTTCAGTCAAGTGGATCTGTTCGTCAATCACAAACTGGTGTCACCGCAAAACAATACGTACGCGTATCGTGCCTATTTGGAAAACCTACTGAACTACGGTGGTAGTGCGAAAAAGTCACATCTCACGACTACGCTGTTCTACGAAGACAAAGCCGACAAAATGGACGATTGCGACATTGCCAACGACGGACTGGTCAAGCGACGAGGATTCGTCAAGAAGAGCACATACGTCGACATGGTGGGCAATTTACATCTGGATTTGTGCAATCAAGACAAGTTTATGTTGAACGGTGTCGAAATGCGATTGCGTCTCGTCAGATCGAGAAACTCGTTTGCCGTCATGTCAAAAACTGCGACGGATTGCAAGGTGCACATTCGAGAGGCGAAACTGTGCGTCCGTCGTTGTAAGATCAATCCCGGCGTGTTGGTGGCGCACAGCAAGACGCTGGAGAGTGGCACGGCCAAGTATCCGATTACACGCGTGGATGTGAAATCCATCACGCTGCCGAGTGGTATCCTGGGCAAGACGTTGGACAGCGTGTTCCTGGGACAGTTGCCGAAACGTATCATCGTAGGACTGGTGGACAACGTGGCGTTCAACGGCGATTTCAAGAAGAACCCGTTCAATTTTCAACATTTCAATTTGAACTATTTCGCTCTTTACATCGACGGTGAACAAGTGCCCTGTAAGGCGTTGACACCTGCCTTCACGGGCGACTCAAAACTGTACGCTCTCGCATATCATACGTTGTTCACCGGCACCGGAATACAGTTCGCCGACAAGGGCAACGAGATCGACAGAACGGAGTATCCGAATGGCTACTGCTTGATGGCGTTCGACTTGACGCCGGACATGTCGGCCGGTGAATCAAGTCACTGGAACCTGGTGCGTAACGGTAATTTACGCATCGAACTGCAATTCAAAGAAGCGTTGGCCGCGTCCGTCAACTGTATAGTGTACGCCGAATTAGACAACGTCATCGAAGTGGATCGACACCGCAACGTGTCCGTGGATTTTAGTGGATAAAAACAACAACAAATAAAACAAAAATACACGAGCATCCGCAGCTCATGCCTACGTCACCGCCACTCAGCTCAGTCTAACATCGACATTCGACCGTGATGGATCGTTGTTACCGTCACGCTCCGTCGCGCCAGCAGACACAAACACCAAAACATAATTATAAACAGGAATCTACAGCAGTTGTTTTGGACTTACAATGTTTCAAGGACAACAACAACGAATTCATAGTGAAAGAGGCCAGTGTGGTCGACGTGTCAACCGGTACTTTGTTACTACATCACGTAGCACGTGCGCCGTTCGATCGTGATTCACTGTCCGCAGATAAACTCAGAGAGTCCTACTGGTTGACCAAACACTGTCACGGACTCGACTGGAATCGTGGTGACGTGCCCTACTACGTGTTGATTGATAAACTGCGCACATGTCTCTCACGTCGCAGCGTCGTCTATGTGAAAGGAGTGGAAAAGAAAGAATATGTAGTCAAGAATTTAATCGTCACCGCGTCGGACGGTATGACTATCGGGCAGATCTTCGCACAGAATAACAAGTACGACAGATGGACCAACGAGATAGCTGCTGCTGCTGCTGCTACCACCTCGACTACGGTTGTGGTGGACTTGAGCGATATGGGTTGTGGATCACTGGCTTCGGTCGGTAATCTACTGTCTGCCAACGTGTTGCGATGCGGTCAACACAAGAGCGCAAAACACCGTTGTTCACTGTCTAACTGCACTCTCTTACGCGGTTGGTTACTGCTTACTTCCGCTGCCACAAAAGAGAACGCACACTGCGGTTTGTCGTCGTGCTACCTTTGTAGTAGACAACAGTTTAGGACTTGCTACAATGACGAAGTTGACAACGGTATATCAACAGCTGCGGCTGCATCATCACCGTCACTGATAACCCAAGCATCGATGACAGTGACGACTACATCGATCAACAGCAGTGGTATCAGCGGTCTCGATACCATTTCCGAAGAAGAAGAAGAAGAAGAAGAAGAGAACGAGGACAACAAATACGAAGAAGGAGACGGCTACGACTACGAAGAATTATAATAATTAAATGATTATGAATACTACCGACATCACGAAATATTTGTCTCAACTACCACGCGAGAAAATAGCGAACACAGGAGTGTACGCGTCAGACCTCCTGCCAACACGTATCGAACCTTCGACGGCCATAGTAGTCAACACAATGCCGCACACGGAAAGCGGGGAACATTGGGTGGCCTTCTACATGGACAGTGAAGCTACGCATATAGAATATTTCGACAGTTTCGGCCGTCAACCGTTTTTGGCCGAATACCAACAGTTTCTCAGACGAAATTCTCGTCGTTACGTCTCGAACAAGTACCAACTCCAACGCCACGACACTTCCGTGTGTGGACACTACTGTCTAACTTACCTGTACTGTCGCATAATGTACGACAAGACAATGAACGATTTTGTACAGCTGTTCAACGGTGACACCTCTTCTGTCATCACACCCACCGATGCAGCCAACAACGACTTCCTGGTCCGAAGACTCTTCCATATGCTTTATCACCACTGACCATACCATACACTTACCAGAGTTATTTTTCTATTTGAATTGTATAAATATCGAATTGAATTTTTGCAAAAAAAATATATATTTATAATTATTTAATGTACATTAGAATTAGTAAATTTGGGAAAAATAAAAACACATGTTTATATTGAAAAATATTTGGTTTTGCTTTATTTACCATTATGACTCTATATAAATCAAAACAAGTTAGTGACAATTCACTATATATTTTATTATTATAATAACATTATATAAATAAATATTAAAATAAAACAATTTTTTTATCTAATATCACAGTTAAAATAATTTATTACTTTATTCAATATAAAATCTGAATGAAATTAGTAACTAAAAATTGTTACTAATTCAATACTAATTGATTCCTAAATAAATTAGAATTTATTACCTAATAAAATTTAATTCCTAGTATATTTGGTTCCTAATATAATTAACTAGTTGTTGTCCGTCAATTGTCTTTGCCATCACCACCACGACGACGATCCGAGGCTTATGCACCGCAAACACGCGCACTATGTAGATGTTATTGTTGTACTGCTTCAATCTACTTCTTCGATGTCAACGTCGTTATCGCTCGCATCCATTGTCGCTGACGGTGACGATTCAATGTTGCGACGACTGTGGCATCTACTGGAGTTCCCGTTGCTGTCTTCTGGAGCCAAAAGCATTGCCCGGTGCGCTGGAATTTTATAGTGACCCCACGGTAACGTATTGACGCCGTCCTCTTCGATATAACGTTTGTCGTCGTACGGCGCCATCGATCGTTTCGACACCACAACGGAGTATATTATGTGGTGTCGGGACTGAAACCGATCGTTATCCGTGTACAAGACCCGCTGTTCCTGTAGACATCGTCTGTAATCGTCTACAGTCAGGCCTTTGGCCACTACGGCGCGATTCACCCCCTTGGCCCGTTTCACAGGTGGTAAACCGTCGCCGACACCGTCTTCGCTGCTATCGCTCCGCAGGAACATGAAGCAGTACAGTTTCGCCATCAGGCCGATGAATTCACTAATGATCACCCCATTGGCTTCGTCCTTGAATTTCCCCAGGACCCGGGCGTTGGTTGGATCGTAGCAGATATGGTCCCGGGGATAGTTGCTGGTGTCGAAGTCGTCCAGGTGATTCACCATGTCCTCGTAGACGTCTACGGTACGGATTAAATAGATCAGCCCGTCTGTGTCTATGTAGAGAAGTCTGAGCCGATCTATTCCATACCGCTCTTGCAGACGGTAGTGGAATCCGTACATCCACGTCTTACTGTGGTCCAGAATGCACATACCCGCGTACACCGGCTTGTCCAAGATGACGCGGACTTTCTTCATGTGTAGTAGGGCCAAGTCTTTGTTGTACCACGTCCGGTCACTGAAATTAGACTTGGCCACATACTTGGTGTACGTTTTCGGGTTTGTAGCCAATTTTATGTTAATATGTTTTCTTACATTCTGGAGGCTCATACCATAGACAGCGTTGACCATAAGCTTAAATAGTTCCACCTCGAACTTGTTCTTGGCCTGCTGCCTGAGTCTGGTATTCATCGCCACGTACGGTTGTAGCCACTTTCGCTGCTTGAAGCGCAGAACACGATGTATCCGACGCACACGCAATCCGTTGTCCATCGCCTGCTGAAGTGCTCGATAATGGATTACGTATGCGTCTTTATCAAACAGGGTGACCATTAGTTTAGCAGATTTGCCTACGCTGTATGTGCGGAGGACGTCGTCCGCATATGGCAATTGGTCTCGAGGCGCTTTCCGCAGTTCCGGACAGAACGGTAGGTCTCGGTGTTTGTCATGGAGTCGAGGATCGCGTGGATACTCCAAATCCACCTCCAAGACGTAGCCTACATCTCCGTCTGCCGGTATGTCCTCGATAACCAATTCGTCTATTTCCTGACGCGACAGCCACTCGAAATCTTTGTACGGGAGCGACTGCGACATGGCCCATCCGTATAGGTTGTTCGCGTCGTAGTACATAATATAATCTCCATATATGTGGTTGTTGTTATCTACGGCGCTAACACTAGTCGAAGGTGCGAACCGACCGTCTCGGCTGACGCCATTTTCAATTCGCCTCTTATTGTTGCTACTCCTGCTACCACCTGCTGATGTTGAAGGATTGTTGACGGTGGTAGCGTTGGTGTATTTATTATTGGCGACAGCGTGTCGGGTTGAGCACTGGGTCAAGCCACCCCGGATCCCTTTCTCGAAGAACAGGTACATATCTACGTCCTGTAGGGTATCCAGGGTCACGTCAGTTTTGAAAAGCATCACGTCCCAAGCGTACGACGGTAAGGTCAACCAGTGGGCTGGATCGAGGTCGTAATGTTCCAGACACTGGTCCCGAAAGCCCTCGAAGACGTCCGCCAACAGCAACACGTCTGTTTTCAAATACAAGTCGGCATAGTCTCCGAGGGTTGTGCAATTGAAGTGTGACCATACGCGTCGGGCGTGAGCATAATCTTCTTCTTTTACGTCCTCCTTGCGTAGGCTGTCTCTGAAGGATTCTGGTGGCGGTAACACGTTTTCGTCCAATACCGAGAGTGACGTTACGTACTCGTATGGAAAAACTCCTTTGCGATGTACTAATGCAAAGTCAGCATCGGCAGGAAAAAAGGATTTTGTGATTTTAAGATGTTCTATTGGCATAAGGGAAACTAAATTTGACAAGGCTCGGGACAAAAATCTATAAGAATCTACAAATCTAAGTGTGAGTCGGTTGTGACGATTCGCACCGTCATGTACGAATCGTTTACTGAAGGAGATGTATTTTTCTTCTGTGTTGGCGAGTACGTTTACGTCACCCCCGTCTATGGCCAGCTCTCTTACCACAAAATGAGCATCATAATTGCTCAAATTGTGGAAGTAGCAATGTATCGTGTCTTGCTCCTTGAATTTTAAATTGCAAGACCGATGTGCTGCACCTCGAAACGTGTAGGGGGGTGAGTGTTGGTGATCACGAACTGCTGGATCGTTTCGGCCGTCACCGTCACCGTCGACGAATGGTTTCTTACAGATGTGACATCTGGTGGCGGCACGAAACTCCGCTTCTTGCTGCGCATCTAATTGTGGTTCGGTCCGGCGTGTTTTGTACAAAACATCTCCTATACGCCGGACGTCTTTCTTGATGGATTCCATAAAATGATGTGCAGCGTTCTCACCCCTATAGAGACGAAGTTCCGAAAACGTGTTACCGCGGTCTACTTGATTGGCTCCTAACCTGTGGCTATCACGAACGTAGTACGCGTACGCGTACGGTCTGTGAACCTTCCTTGTCCTGACATGATCAGAATCCGGTCTATTGTTTTTATGTGGTTTTCCCCCTCGCTGTGTTGCTGGATCTTCATCCGGAGGGGGGACTGTCGGTGGATCTGTGAGAGGTTGGTCGTCTTCTTGATCGTATGGTACGAGCGCACACTCAAAGTCGGCATAAAT